CAAGTCCCTGATGGAGAGTATCACCCTGCATTTGGATATAGGTTGTGACCTATATCCAATTGTTGCTTTCTTACTATGAGTGTTATCCAAACCAAGGATGATTTTAAATCCTTTTTTCCCAAGGGAGTATTCAATTTTCTCCAAGTAAGACACTTAATTACAGATGAAACCCAGGTTGCACTGTTATTTTTGAATCTTTCACTATTCAGAAATATTGAACAAAATCCAGAACAAGACCTCCTAATAAACACAAATTTTCTTTGAACTTCTCACATTTCTGAACACAGCTTAAGCAGATTCAAGCCCAGACATACATACTTATAAATGTAGACCCTACATACAAGCAAAAAACCCTAATATTCCTCAATTAGGATATTAAACGCTATATATCTCAAGTGTTTCTCTTTTGCAGTGTGCTGTAAAGTCTCCAGTAAGTAACACAGATGAATCCTGTGACATGTAAATCTTAGTTTCCATGGCTCTGCAGAGAGCTTTTCTAGAGTCAGGTAAAGAATACATAGAAGTGCAAGTAGACTCCAGGTTGCTCAAGTTTAAAGTGCCCTGTGATGAAGGCCTTTGGCATCTCTTTTGTCCTTTAATTACAGAAGGGTAAATGATATTTCTGTGGCACTATAAAGCCTGGAGTTTTCTTTTAATGCCTGGCCTGTTCTCAGCTGCTGACCCTATCTGGCAATATAAATTTTATGCAAATAGGTCAAGCTATGTTTGTGCCAGCTCGGCACTGTTTGATGGTTTTGATGTTCTTAGAGCACTATATCACCTGATCTGGCACACACTGGTTGGAATAAGTCAAATCTAAGCCAGAACGATGATTTGGAGAGGCTTATCTTCAGTGAACCAAGACTGCAGTCATAGCTCACCCTGTCTGCAGCTGGAGCTGCCTCTGCCTGCCTTTAACCACCTGCTGCTTTGCTTCCTGCATTGCAAGAGAAGCCACATGTTTTCCTCACCTTCTCCAGCTGGGGTGATCCAATGTTAAACACATTTATGCCAGCCCAGGTCATTTTGGCTGAAGTTGGTGAGGGAGCAGTATTACAGATAGATACCAAAGGAAAGTAAGGAAAGGAAAAATAGATACAGAACTACAGTACTTGTTTATCTAAGACCTAATATCTTATTTAGAAGAAGAGCTGCTGAAACAGCAAGAAAAACAAAAACAATTGCTGAGTGAGTGTTCATGGTCTAAGCTGTGTTGCACAGAGAAACAGCAGGACTTAATACAATTATTAAATTACATCTACCTTTATTTTTTCAATTGATAGATTAATTGCAACTTAGCTATGAAGCTTACAGGGCAAAATGAAACAACTGTTATAAAAGGTTACAGAAGACAGGTCTGTGACATTGCATGTTACAGAGACAGGGAAATTGTACAATTTTTCTGGATCTCCCACTAAATATCATCCCCTTGTTCTCAGAATTCAATACAGTTATATGGAAGACAAGAGGTCTTCTACCCAAACTGGCAGGTCATACTACTAGAATGAGAAGAGCTATTTTGGAAGACTGACTCTGAATGAGCTCAAGATCATATGGCATGACCTAAAGGGGACCAAAAGTAACCATGTACCACCCAACACAACTATGATTTTGCTACTACCACAAAACAGGAAGAAGAAAACAAAAATATTAAGGCACTAACAAAATAGGATAAGATGCCTCTTCAATCTACCAGATAAAGCTACAACAAAAATTCGATCAAGCACATCAGGTTCCTCTCCATGTGAATTCTTTAAATCAAGATAAGGTCTTTGTGGAAGGTATACTAAGTTCTGCTAAAAGTTGTAGGCTATCCAGAAGAATTGTTTAATAAGAATCATCAGACTATCATACATAAAGTATGACAAGATTATCACAAGTCTTCCATCTAAAGAGTTTCAGTGGGTGGGTTTTGGTTTACTTTTTGAAGTTTTTTAGGCAGGGTGAGGATTTAATTGCAGAACCACAGAATATCTCCAAATGTCACAGCCCTGGAGAGTTGCTCTATGTGATGTACACATATCAGATAAACCAGGCACTTGTCTCTGAAACAGAAGCAAGTATATTAACTGAACTACCATTTACACTCCCCAACATTAGACAAACAAGACAAGACCTGCCTTCACTGCAGTTTAGTACCTAGTACAGGCCACTGAGGCAATGTACACAAGGCAATTTTAATGTTGCAATGCATTTTCTTAGCACCCACACAGAAAAAAAGTGGTTTTACCTATGATTATACTTGCAGCCAGTAGGTAGTAAATAGTGAGTCACTGTGTTCTGTCCAGCTGCAGCTTCCTTCCCTTCTCTGGCCTATCATCTAGGCTTACTCATTTTCATTCTGCATCCAGTGTTTCTCTCCATTTCCAATTATCACAGGAATTAGCACAAACCAGGTCCTTTTCCAGCAAGGGATTAATATAACATAAGGACTTAATACAAAATTGGTATTTCATTTCCATAGCAGCGACTCAAGTTTATTTTGATAGGGCACCCAAATCCCTTGTCAGGAAAGGGCAGCAGGCTGGGATGGCAACTGGGCAGTAATAAACACTTGCCCCAGCCCCCAAAAAGGGTACAGCCATGCTGTATCTGAGCAAGAAAAGCCAGGGTACCCATGGCCAGCAGTGTCAGGGTCACATAAACCCCAGGAGACACAGACACCTGCTCTAACAAGGCATAAACCCCCATCCCCTGAGGTTTGAATGCAGCTCCAGGCCAGAGGGTGGCTGGTGGATGGGTAGGGACTCACGTGAGGCTAACCAGGTTAATCAGTGCCTGCTGACCTGCCCAGGGCTTGTCCGAGTTACAGCCCTCTCCACCTCCTGTGGGAAGAAAAAATCCCATTTAGGTCTGAAGGGAGTTAAACATGTTTAACTAAAGTTTGCACTTTAGGACAACTTAGGCATAAGAAAACCATTTCTGAGGTGTTACTTTATAGATATGCTTTTGGAGGTTATTGGTGTGCTGAACATCACAAGTGAAGAAAAATAACAAATTAATGCCACATTTGAAAGCTGAAAATACTTACACATCACTTTTCTTCTACTGATTTCATGTGGTTTTCATGTACCTGTCTCCTTGGTCAAGGTTATAGTCTGCTACAGACTCACAAAGTACTGAGCACAGGGGGGAAAAAGTCATCCATAGGTAGGCAGCTGGCCCTGAGATGTCAAAGGCAAGTTTCCAGCTGCCTGGATAAAATTCTGCAGACTTTTAAGAAGCCATCCAGCTCTATGGAGCATGTGTTGATGTCTGTGCAGTGTCCAGTGCATGACTGTTTTATGATAAAATGCTTGATGTGGGTTGAAAAAAATCTGAGATTTATCTATGAGCAGTTTTATCAGTTTAGCCCTAACTTGGGAAAGGAGTTACAGTTCTGTGTAAGGCACTCTGTTGACTTTTCTGGTTGAGTCTTTATTGAGCGAGTGTTTTTCTGGGCTGAAATACTGCTGCATTGACAAGCTGACTTGAAACACAGCCCATCTGCCTCAGCAACCTCAAGGGAATTTGCTGTAGCTTGAAGCTATTCTTTGCTCACTTCTTTGAACAGCACTGGGAAGATGAGCTGACCCTAATTTTCTGCCTTGGAGACAAATGCTGGTTAGTAGTGCTGCATAGAATTTGCTGTAGTGCATTACATAATATCTGCAACGAAAAGGGACAGCCCCTAAACTGTAAACATAATAATAATTATGCTAACAATAACAGATAATAGATAAATTAAACTGAAATAGAGGTAAACCATATTGCTATATAATCCTGTATAATGCATACTTATTAATATATCTCTGATAATATATATGTGGATAATAATTGTATAGATCAAACAGTATTCTATATAACAATGTATAGATATCATTCTGAGAATCTCTGTCAAGGTCTATTTTTTATTAAGATAGAGGGCTAAAGATCTCTAAATCTAGAGATATATAGATTTGTATGTACAAAAATTGTATGCAGAATCTTCTTCAGAGTATTTGTTGGCAGCTTGCAGTGAGAATATCCTGTATCCTACAGAAAATATCCTGTATACAAGAATTTCTACCTCTTTTTACCTGAATAAATCATCTTGTCTGTCCCTAGGAAAATAATTAGAAATTACTCATTTTATCCTGACCAAACAAATTTACACTACGGAACTCATTCCATGTTATTTGGGCAATCTACTAAACCATCCTTTTACAAGACCAGTGTGCTGTGTATGAAAGTCGGGGATCTGGTGGTTGGTGGGTTTTATAGAATCTAGCAGCTGATTTACTTCAGTTATACTAAATCTGGTAAAGTCTCTATATTACTAAGTTTCTGAAGAGGAATGAGGTATTACACTTCTCTGGCAGTTTTACATTGGGCAGTGGCAATCATAATGGCTTTTTAAAACTATCTAGAAAGTCTTGTAAAGGTTGATATGAAATTTTGTGCTCTTACTAGCTTGTTTATTTTACCAAGCTGAATGATTCAAGCTAGATTTGAACCACCTTGTGCTTGCAAGACATTCTGTCTAATAATCTAGCACAATATTAATTACAAAACAACTTTGAGACAGTCATGAAACATCATAAAGGATATCAAAAAGCTTAATGCAAGGACTGATACATCATCTCTGGCCTATCAGAAACCTTTTGAAATTTGAGAGTATAAATGGCTATGGCTCCATCTTTGGAGGAAACAGGAACATATGAACCTCTCATTTGCAGGACTTTGCTTGCAAAAAAGGTAATTAGATTGCAAGAAATTGGGTTGCACTGGCTAAGTCTTATTAAGACTGTCAAGAGAGACTGGCAAGCAAAGCAAACTTTGGGCACAGCAAGAAACATCTTGTGCTGCAAAGCCACTGACCTGATTTCAGATGTTGATTGCTAAAAGTGAATTGGCTTTTGACAGCTCCCCTTCATCTGAGCGGGTGATGGCTTGGGTTTGGAGGTGAAGGCAGTTGCTAATTGCCCTCTCACAGTGCTGTTTGGCAAACCGGCACTGTCCTTGTGTCAGCAAAGAAAGTGTCAGCCAGCATGGCAGCTTCTTGTCTCCAGCTTTGAACGGGAGTTATATACAGGTGGCAGAATCCCAAAGTGCTCTTTTGCCAATTTAGTAGGCCAGTAAGGATTCACAGTAATGTTGTTTCTAGAAAAAGAAGATACAAGAAAGGATGTAGGACAGGCTTGCAAATACAGCAAGTTCCTGTTTGTTATTACTTTTTTAATAGTGGTAGCTCAAAGAAACCTCAGTCAAGAGAAGTAAACTCTCCTTTTAGACCTGCAGGCAGGTGTACTCCTTGACCTAGCAGCCTGAACTAAAGGTGTCAACTGATTGATTGTCTCATAGGCTGGATATTGTGTACTCAAACATTTTCAGAATTTCCTTTAAAAGGAAACTTTTCAGTTACTGAAAAGATAATCTTTTAGATATACACTCACTGCCAAGTGGCACAGAGTTCCCTTTCTAAAGCTACAAACTAGATTAAATAGGGACTGAAAACTGTGAATCTCTTATCCCTTATTAAGATAATTGAATTATAGATGTATGCACCTATATCCATCTACCTCCATGTAGTAACATCATGCTTAAGTAGTCATACTGCTTAAAAATTATACTAGTGTAGATAAAGTAGGTCTAATCTTGCTTCTCCTTGATTTTGAGCTCAGTGGGAGAACATAGCAATTTGTTACTGCAAATTGCATCATTCCTAACTAATATCAGGTAAAACAACCATTACTCTTTGGTTTATATATTTGCTCTGAGAGAGAAATTCAGATGAGAACCCTAACAAGAACCAATTAACTACGTACCTCTAATGAATTTCAGTAACATCCTAAGAATTATAAGGGCCTAATATCCCATGGGAAAGAAGACAGAGAAGAATCCTTTGGCAAAGCATAAATCTCATTTTAAACAAGATCATAAACATGCTGACTAGATACCCTAATTTTGCTTCGGCATATAATACTCTGTGCTTTTCCTCACTTGCAAAATTTTACCTCCTATTCATGTCATCAATAGCAGTATTTAGTTTATTTCTAAACCAAGAGAAGCCATTTTTTGCTACCATTGTTGCAAGAAAATTCTGCAGGGTAATATGATCATATTTAAAACAATAGGAAACTAATTTTTCTAGGGAATAAACACTTCAGGGGTAAGTAAAATGTTCCACAATTTAATCAGTCAGTTCTGTACATCTACATGGAAAACACAGTTTCTAACCTGTGCTCTGAGGGAACTGGGAGGAGAAGTTTTAAAACTGCAAGATGAAGCTGACACCGGAATGCATCTCTTCTACTCTATTGTTGTGGCCACTGGTAAACTAAAATCATGCATGATACTTAGGAACAAACAACATTGCATTAATTCAGTTTTTTCATTTATCGTTCTCAAAATGTGGCTGCTTTTTTCAATACTTTTAAAAACCTTAGAAATTTTGACTTTTGTGATAACATACTTTATATTTCTTCAGATTTGGCTTTTACTTATTTTACCATTTTTCCTGCTTTTTTTCCCCAGCCTTCTATCTTATTTTTTCCGCAAATATTATCCATCTGCCTTTCTTCCCTTACTTCCTTTTCTAAGTGGAAACAGACGCACTACATGTTAGCTTGATGATCATCTCTGCTTTTATTTTTTTCTGCTTTGAGATAGCACTTACGGGATGAATAAGAACCTGCCTGGAGACTTATGTAATTTAATTACCAAAAAGGTTCCTAAATTCCTCGTGTGATTGAAAAAGACAGAGAAAGGCAGAGAAAAAAAAGAGAAAAGTCTTGTACAGAGCCGTACAGCACTTGTGAGACGTTATCATCACAGCTGGTGACGTGCCCTCTCGTGGTCACACTGCTACAAGAGCAATGCCTTGTTTTAACTAAGAGCAGGCTACTGTTCAGCCAGTACTTCAGCATTTTAGTTTGGTAAAACAGGTTTTAAAACATATCAGTGCCCTAAAGTGTGAGCTGGTTGGACAGAACAATGCTACAAGCAGAGAAACAGTTAGGAAAAAGTGAAGTTGCGTGTTGAACTGTCTGCACAGTTTTGGAGTACAGTTTTTGTGGCAGTATTCTGGAAATGCAGATCAACTTGCCCTAATGAGAAATATAAAGACCTTTATCAGATTGCTTGATGCCCAATGTTATCTATCATAAAGCACAATAAGCAGACTTGGAAGACCTAAGACATGATTACCATATTTAAATTATTTCCAAATATCAGATGTCATTTCTGATCTACAGTTGAATATAGATCAGAAGTACAGATTTAGTCTGCAGGTAAATATTGTTGATTAGTTCCACAATTGATTCTGATTGAAATTTACAAGGAATTCTTGTTTTCTAGGATAAGGTACTCGGATTTAATTAGGAATATGCACTTATGTTATTCTTTGCATTTGAATAGATAGTGCATTCATTTTAGAGACTGAATCCAAAACTGTCCACACAAGATGAAATAGCTACCTCCATTTAGTCTGAGCTAGGCATCACAACCCTCAGTCACTGCAATTTCTGCTAGAATTGTAGTCCCTGGTTGCTCTTGCTACAAGTGTGCTGAATGATGCAGAAAGCAGCATGACATCTGCTATTATACTACTAATTAAAATGGTTTTTAATCCCCTAAAAATATCATAGTAGCATTTTTATCCTCTGTGCTTACACATACCAATATTACAGACACAAGAGAAGACAGTTTTATTTGCAGCATAATATCTCCAGAAGTGATCGCTGTGATGTACATAATTTCACAGAGCACCTTTTGTGCCCATTATTCAGGAACTTGGCCTTTGTGGCCACAGCAGTCACATAAAGGAAGTTGCAGCAGTTGAAACGTAATGGCCTTTACACTAGAAAGTGTGCTAAAGGTTATTAAATGACAAAAACATAGATATTCACAAAACACAAAGTCAGAAACTCTGTAGCTTCATTTTTGTCCATCCCATGTGAATTTCTTCCAGGAGAACTGTATATTTCTTGTAAACAGTGTCCCAGTCTGGGCACTAGAACAGCAGCCCTACTACACTCTCCATCTTTGTATTAGGGCAGTATAGCAGGGAGACTTCCACCCAGTGTAAAACCCACAATAGCACAATGCCATTTTCTGCCTATTATTACCCCTGCTATATGATTTATTATTCTTGCTTGAGTTAGCTAATGTTTTTCTGTCAGATTTCTCTCACTTTTTTCCCAGATCTTATCTCCAATCTTCTAAATGACTTTGCTGTCTGATTCTGCCATCCAGCCAATGTGTTTTTTTTCCATCAGGGTTTAAGCTCGGTCATTACATGAACTCATGTACCATCTCCACATAAATGTATATGAAATTATTCAGAATTACTGCAGCCTGGGGAACTCCTAGCCACTGTTGCTGGAGATCATGACCTCGCTGCCTCAGAGAAGAAGAGTAGATAACTCCTTGAGTCAGAGTGTCAGCACAGCCTTTTTTGTTCTCTTTAAGAAGTGTTTTCTTCAGGCTGGTGTGCTCCTGCTCCTCACCACTGTACATATGCTCACCATATGCACATCAGTGCTACAGCAGCCGGGTGACACTGCAGCTTGGGGAGTCCTGTCTATATTTGCTGCTGCCCAATTGCCTTCCCTGCCAGCAGCCTCAAGGGCAGGAGAGAAGGGTCTAATGCATCTCTTTTTCCATGCCAGTGCCTCTGGAAAATGCTCCCAAAGCAATCCTATGGCTATTTTTAGCATTTGTGAAACTTGATATGTCTTTGCAATATCAGATAGCAAAAATTCCTTACTTCAAGTCTGAAGCAAGAAAAATTATCATAACGTAAATTGTCTACTAAACCAAGCTTCCATTTTTCATAAATATATCAGTAAAGCAGCTTGCTATCAGTGGCTGGATGACTGCAATTACTGAATACTTCTAAAGAAAAATATCCTTCTATAGTTTTATTACTATGGATACTTTTTCCAATAGAGTAAAACAGTTTAGACTTACAAATCAACCAAAAAGATTTAAATAGATGGATTTAAAATAAGACTGGAAGATAAGTGCATAAAACAGCTCCAGAAAATCCAGGCCATAATTCATATATCTTTGATTATGCACTTCTCAAGCTGGGAAGTGCTCATTGAATTTAATGAATATTTTGGTTCTTTATCAACTTGCGGATCAGAGCCTTGATATAAACACAGCTGGTGTGTGTTCAACGACATCTTCTACTGCTTTGCCAGTTATAGGATGTTATTTAATGGGATCTTCTGAGGATGTTTATCAAGTTAGCTTGAGTTCGGCAGAAGTAGATTATGTAAGTATTTTGCATCAGAAACATACACAAATTATGCCTAAAGTTTTAAAACTTCTTCCCCAAAAATGCAATTTAAACATGAAGTTGTATATTACATATTTAATAAAATATCATCATACTTAGAAATTCCACGTGAAATTTATGGGACAAGGTTCATCTATGACAAAGAAATAACTAAGATTTATATTTAGTTTCACATCATAGTAAAATCAAATCAAATCAAATCTGTTTGATTTGATTTTTAAATTCTCTTACTACTGATTAATATTTGAACTTTATCTAAGTTGTCCATGTGTAACTTCAATGGGGACAGTGGCCCTGCCTAAGATATTGCCATGCTGTACCACGTGTTGCAGTGACACGGATGGCTAATACATAAATAGTTCAATGCTTTCTCAAAAGAAAATAAATTAACATACCTACTTATGAAATTTATGGAATTTGCTGGATCCCAAGGTTAGGCAATATAAGAAAAGTAGGAAAAATACCTTGGATTGGGGTTTAAGTGGCTGCAGTCTGTTTTCATCACAGGGTAAGTACCATTTGATATTTATTTTAGGAGCACAAAAAACAAAGGATAGGGAGAGGCTGCCACTGGCAGAATCAGCTGATGTTAGAAATTTCCTGTGCTTAGGGGCTCCTGGCATCTTGTACAAACGTACTGCCTGTCACCTTGATGCTGCCTCACCAAGGCATGGCTACTTGGTTAGGTTAGTGATGTCAAGGTGAAGGAACTAGTGCATCAAAGGTGATGCATAAAACTTGCTGAATGCTCTGACTGGGTGACTTGTGAAAAAGAAAGAAAGCTCACTGACAGCTGATATGTAAAGTGCAGAACTAAGGCCATTTCTGATGGGAGCACTGATTTTAGCCTCTACTG